AAGAAAAAAGAAAAAATCCCCCCCCCCCCCCAATTCCTCAAGAACACGAACAAACGTATTTACTTCTGGAAGCCCAACTCACCATCTCTATCACTGGTCGGGTAGGCGTTGACGGGCCTGTCCGGCCTCGTGAAGTCTGTGTTGACGAAAGGCTTGGTGGGCGGGTACTCCATGTACTTGGACGACACTCCCGTGGCCGTGGACATGGAGGTAGGGGCGGGGCCTGCTGCGCTAGAGGCGGCGTCCTCCTCCATCTGGGCGTGTCGCGGGCGGGGCCTCGAATGACTCGCTGCTTGTTTCAGATGAGTGCTACTGCTGCCGTAACTGTGGTAGGCTGGCACACGGTTAGACCCCTGAAAAAACCCAAAGGTGTAATGAATTTAGTTTATTTGCTTTACATTGACTGATTTTTTATAATTCAGGAGGTGGGTTGCTTCGACCCTTTTCGTCAAAGGCAACTGGGCTTGGTGGAATACAGCATGCCACTGAGGCATTCGTAAATAAAATAAACTTCCTCATGCGTTTTTAAAATGCTAGAGTTTTACGACATTTGCAACACAAATAGGTCATGTAAGTGCAGAACATTAGAGGTGTTACTAAAGAGTAACAAACACACACACACAAAGGAGGAGAAATAAGGACGGCAATTATTTCGATAAAATACATTCGATAAAATAGACCTCTCCAGGTGGAAACCGACCTCGCGTGATCATACCATAGACGCCAGTCTACTGCTACTGCTACAAGCACACGGCGAAACCCCGGATATCAAGTTTTATTATTTATTATTTTATATAGTAGAGGGTTTTACGGCGCTAGCTACTGCATAAGGTCATATGAGTGCCAAGGGGTGGGTGTCAACAGAGAAGTCTGTATGTATGTATATGTATGTATGTATAGTATAAGGTTTTACGGCGCTCGCAACTGCTAAGGTCATATGAGCGCGCGAAACACAAGTTGTTCACCTCTGCGAAAGTTCACTTCACGACTGGTAACTAATTTACTTTAAAATGCTAAAAAGTTAAAATATTCAAATTCGGTGTAAATACATTTGTGATCTAAAACAACTTTTAAGTAACAATAAAAATTTTAAATAATATCAGATTCACTTTACAACTCGCCATCCTTTTGGGAATGGCCTAAAGACACTTCAGTCGGTCTGCTGGGAACAACGACGGAGAAAATATCCTGCAATTTCTTGCATTTATAATACACGAAAACGGTCATTTAGTGTAGGTAAAAAGTTCCGAAAAGGAACTTAGATTCGGACCTAGACTAAAGCCAAAGGTAAAAGTAATTAATGGAGAGCTGTATTTCTCGGTGACCTTTACTCCGGCACGGGATGAAAGAGGCTGAAGATAATGAGTGCAGGTAAAAAGAAAGATAGACATAAAAACAGGGAAAGAAAAGAGACAGGACCTACCAAAGGTGCTCTTCAACCACTCGTTAAGATCCCCGAAATAACCAAAATGGCGCTGCATTGGTATAGTCTATGGCGGGTTGGTACTAAAACGGGAAACTTTTCGTCATTTAGTTTTAGAATGAGTTTTACGGCACTTGCAACATAATTAGTTCCTACAGGTGCTCACTATGAGAAGTGTTTTAAGAGAGTAAAATACAAATAAAAAAGGAGCACAGATAGTGAAGATAGATGTGTGATACAAAAGAAGAAGCAAACAACATCAGAGTAACCGCCAACCATCAACATTTTCACCACGAGGAGAGAGAGAGAGAGAGAGAGAGAGAGAGAGAGAGAGAGAGAGAGAGAGAGAACAATATCAATAAAAGAGAGAGAGAGAGAGTTAGAGAGAGAGTTAGAGAGAGAGTTAGAGAGAGAGTGAGAGAGAGAGAAAGAGAGAGAGAGAGAAAGAGAGAGAGAGAGACAGACAGAGAGAGAGAGAGAGAGAGAGAGAGAGAGAGAGAGAGAGAGAGAGAAAGAACAATATCAATAAGAAACATATAACAGCACGATGGTCTGTTTGTATGAGCACAGAAAAAGCACGAGTAAGAGAACAAAAGTATAACCAAGAAGCGCGTTGCGGTTTAAAACAGAACGACAAAACGCCTTAACATCATAGTGAGATCGAAAAAGATTAGAATGACGTAGAGCAGCACGCATACAAAAAAAGACTAGCATATAATTATATATAATAACAACAATGGCCCCTTCTTTTATTTCCAAAAAAAAAAAAAAAGTGGAAAAAATGTCGGGGGCACCCCCCCCCCCCCCCCCCCCCACTCCACCCCGAAAAATAAATAGATAAATAACACAAGATTTTTAAAACTACAAAAAAGTAAATAACTAAATAAAACTACAAACAAACAAAAAAGCCACTACTACTACAA